TTTCGTATCTGATAAGGGAGCCAAAATAATAGGAAAAAAACGACAGCCTTTTCAACAACTGGTTTTGGGAAAATTGAATATTCAAATGCAGGAAACTGAAACTGGATTCTTATCTGTCACCCTGTATCAACAACTCAAAATAGATCAAAGACTTCAGTGTAAGTCCTGGAACGACTATAAGAAGGAGTAGTCTTGACATAGGCAGGGACTTTTTGAGTAATGTTCCAGGAGCTCTGCAAATTGAAGAAAGAAATGACAAATGGGATTGCATCAAACTAAGAAGTCTCTTCAGGGAAAGGACATACTTAACAAGCTAAAATGACAGCCTACAGAATGGAAGAAAATGTTTGCTAGTTATATGTCAGACAATGACTTAATATCTAGAATATAAAAGAACTCAAGAAACTACCCACAAAGGATCAACAACCGAATTCATTAATAAATGGGCAAATAAGCCCATTGTTGTTGTTATGATGATGATTATTATTCTCAGAAGAATAAGTAAAAGTGCTCAATAAACTCATAAAGAAATGTTCGGTAGTTTTGGTTATCAAGGAAATGCAAATAAAAATGGTACTGAGATTCTATCTCACTGCAGTTAGAATGGCCATCATCAAGAATACAAGCAAGCTAGGCGCTGGTGGCTCATGGATGTAATCCTAGCTACTCATGAAGCTGAGATCTGAGGATCATGGGTCAAAGCTAGCTGGGGCAAGAAAGTCCATGAAACACTTATCTCCATTTAACCACCAGAAAACCAGAAGTGGAGCTGTGGCTCAAAGTGGCAGGGAGCTCAGGGACAGTATCCAGGCCTTAAGTTCAAGCCCCAAGACCAACACACACACACACACACACACACACACACACACACACACACACACACACATGCGCGCAGAAGAACACAACAATAAACGGTGGCATGGATGTGGGGAAAATAGAATTCTAAGACAATGTTGGTGGAAATGTAAACTGCTCTACTCACTCTGGAAAGCAGTTTAGAAATTCTTTAAAAAATGAAACATAGAACTACCCTATGATCAAACAATACCACTTACAGGCATTTAGCTAAAAGGTTCCAAATCAGAGTACTGTAGCAGTCCTTGCACAGCCATGCATTGTTCATGCAGAAACAACCCAGATGTCCTTCAGTAGACAAATGGGTCAAGAAAATGTGGTCTGTGCTGAAGAGGCCTGAGGACTAATGGAATAGAATTGAAAACCCAGAAATAATCCCACAGACCTATGGCTATCTAATCTTTGAGAAGAGAGCCAAAATTATCAGATGGATAAAAAGACAGCCTCTTGAACAAATGGTGCTGGCAGAATTGGCTGTACACATGTAGAAAACTGAAGTTAGAACCAATTCCAAATGGATCAAAGATATCAAGGTAGGAGCAGATACCCTAAAAATATGACAGGAAGGGATAGGGGATAAACTAGGGCTCCTTGGTACAGGTAGAAATTTTCTAAATAAAGATACAGAAACATAAGAAATCAAAGAAAGGATGAATAGATGGGATTGCATTAAATGGCAGAGCTTCTGCATGGCAAAGGATATTACTAGCAAGATCAATAGAAATCTCACAGATTAGGAGAAGATCTTCACTAACTATACAACAGTCTGGGCCTCAAAGAAGTATCTAGACTTCAAAAAAAATCAAACCCCACAACAACCATTCTCAAAGAAACACCCACCCTATTAATAAATGGGCTAAAAAATTAAAAAGAGACTTCTCTGGAGAGGAAATAAAAATAGCAAATAGACACATGAAGAAATGCTCAACATCACTGGCCCTATGCAAATCAAAACTACATTGAGATTCCACCTCACCCCAGGTAGAATGGTCATTATCAAAAACAAACAAACAAACAAATAATAACAGATGCTGATGGGGTTGTGACCAAAAGGGAACACTACTACACTGTTGGTGGGAATATAAACTGGTTCAATCACTCTGGAAAGCAGTATGAAGGTTCTTCAAAAGACTAAACATAGAGGTCCCCTATGAAGCAGTCCCACTTCTGGGCATTTACTCAAAGGACCACAAACAAGGCCATACAAAAGCTACCAGCACAACTATGTTCATTGCAGAATTATTTACCATAGCTAAGATATGGAACCAACACAGATGCCCCTCAGCAGATGAATGGATCAAGAAAATGTAGTATATATACACAATGGAATTCTATGCTTCCATCAGAAAGAATGACATTGCCCCATCCGTAAGGAAATGGAAAGACTTGGAAAATATCATATTAAGTGAAGTAAAGTAGGCTCAAAGAAACATAGGCTCCTCATTTGTAATAATTAGTGTATGTTTAGGATAGTACTAGCAGAGGATCACAATAGCTCTGTACATATGACCATATAAAATGATGCTAATAAAAAAGAACTCCAAGATATGGAAACAAAAGTTTTTTTTAATTAACTGTTTGAAGTTATTTCTTTTTCCTTTCATTTTTTCCTTTGATTTATCCCCTGTGGTCACTGTTTTTGATTTTGGTACCCTGTGTCTTGTACATATGTTTATCTGATTTGGGAAGGGAAGGGGAATAACAAAATGGTGACCAAGGGTGAACCAATGCAGCAGCAATACTCACAAGACACTATGTTGGAAATGAACCTTACAACTTGGGAGAAGGGAATTAAGGGAGAGGGAAAGTTGGAGAAAATTGAGGGAGGGGTAACAATGTTTGACAAGAAATGTACTCATTACCTTACTTATGTAACTGTAACCCCTCTGTACATCACCTTTACAATAAAATAAAATTAAAAAAGAAAAATGTGGTATCTGCATGGTATAGAATTTTACTTTTAGGAAGAATGATACTCAGTGTGTGTGTGTGTGTGTGAGAGAAAGAGAGAGAGAGAGAGAGAGAGAGAGAGAGAGACAGAGAGACAGAGAGAGAGAGAGAGACTGCCAGTAATGGGACTTGAACTCCGGGCCTCTATGCTGTCCCTTAGCTTTTTCTGCTCAAGGCTCTACCACTGTGCCACAGTTCCACTCATGGCTTTTTTGGGGGTGGTTAATTTATGGGTTTGAATCATGATCCTCAGATCTCAGCCTCCTGAGTAGCTAGGATCATAGACTCCTATCAGTAGTGTGAACCACCAGTGCCCTGTCTGCCTTGTCTTTTTTATAGAATGGAATTTGAATTCTGAAAAGACTAATCTTGTTCCAGCTCTGTGTTTTAATTCTGTTTTTTTTTCCAGAGATGGTGGTAGTAAGAAGGGTCTATCATTCTGGCACTGGCATTCTTATTCTCCCTTAATCAAGGTAGTCTAGCCTTGACTTATATCATTAAAAGATGATCCTTACACTAACCAAACCACTGAAATCCATAGTTTTTAGCTAAATCTAAAATCTCTTTAGATCAATGTAATTGATTAGTCTGAAGTCACATAGAAGAATTGGCATCATACTTTGTGAATTCCAGGTCAATGTTGTTTGTGCTACAGTGCTGCCTGAGAACCAAGTTCACAGTATTGTCATATTGAGGTTGGAGGAAATCATGCTCAGCCTGACTGTGGAGAGTGTAGGTAATCTAGGCAGCTAGCATCACCATTTGCATTTGGTCTCCTGTTCTTCACTGGGTAAAATAAGAATAATCCTGGCTTCACATTAAGGGAAGGGCTGCTCTGTGCAGAGCTGAGGGTGCACCCTGCTAGGATCTTGGCACATCTCAGGCATTTTATCAGCTCCTATTTACAGAGTCACTGCCTGAATTCCTTCTGCCACTCTATCCCCAAACCTCATTCTACTGATTAACACTCCTGTTTAAAATCTTAGATACAATGGTACAAATACATTGTCATTATATTTTGAGCTTTTATAATGTTGATTTTCCTCAGAGTTGTGAAAGTAGAGTTAGGTCACTTGCTTCTTTCTTTATTGATGCCCTGAAAGTATTAAATATGCAAGAGATTGACTGTTCTGTCCATGTTTTCTTTCCCACAGTTCTGGCAACATGATGTTTGTTTATGCTCCATACAGGGAAGAAGTGATTTTCTAGACTTGCCTTTCTCCTCCTCCTCTTCCTCCTCCTCCTCCTCCTCCTCCTTCTTCCTCTCCTTCTTTTTTGCCTTTCTTCACTGTGTCTGTTTAAATGTCATTTTCACACAGTGACAGCTTCTGCCAGGGATAGGTCTTCATTACCCTCAAAGAGAAAACAAAAAAAAAATTAGATCTCAATGTTTTGAATGCCAATGATATAGGAAGTTTCCTAGTAGGCCTGCCACTTGTTTCAATCACCATATTTGGTCCCAGGCAAGACTTGAAGTTTAGCCATAAATAGGAGGAGTTCTCTGCTGGCCAATAGAAGGGTCTATATAATCGAAGGTAGTGTAGTATGCCCCCCTTAAAATCCAGCCCTCCTCCCCATACTATCAAAGATCATGTTACTCTTCATGAGAAGAATCTGTGGGCTTGTCAGGGCAAATTAAATTGGCCAATGGTTTGGCCATTTTTGAGAATTAAAGTTTGTTTACTTTAGAATTAGAATCACTTGGTCAACTGTTTCTATTCTATTTCTTATATGTTCATTTTTCTTCTGCTCCCTGCTTTGTTCTTTAGATCTCTGATAGATAAGCAAAAATTATTTTTGGTAACTTTAAAAAAAGCATTATAATGTTACTTTCAAGAGAAGAAAAAGTAATCAAATTGACTAACAGGGGAACATTATGTATTTGAGTTCTCATTTATTTAGTACTAAATCTATATTCTTCTCCCACCTTTTTTCTAAATGTCAAACACCAAAGAGGAAGGTAATTCTAATATTTTTCCAAAGTCCTTTTAAGAAATTCCTTTCAAACATATGGATTTTAGTCCAATAAGTCCTCCTCCTTTGGTCTAAATTTTGCATATTGTCTGTTTCTTACAGGGCTTCCGTATTGTCTCAGCTCCACTGGAAATGCAGCAAGGATTCCTAGCACATCCCAGTTGCCATAGCAACAGCAGTCTTTCCCATAATGAGCTGCATCATCTGAACTGATGTCACAGCATCATGCAGCAGGTCAAACAAGGCATCTCCTAGTATTGCATCCTACAGATGTGCCGTAAACATCAAAAGAAGACGGTGGGAGCAGGAGATGGTGAGTGTTAAATGTCTGGGCCTTAATTGCATGGCTGTTTTGTTGGGTAGTCGTGTCTGCTCAGGCAGAGATGGGGGATGTTGTCTGCTTAAAATGGACTGAGGAAAGAAGGGTTGTTTGCCTAAATCTGTTTTTCAGGCTGTTGGATTAAGACAAAGGCCTGTAAGAGTCTTGTAGGAATCAAAGTACAAAGAATTTTTCTTGCTGTTTCTCTGCCTGTTATTTTTAGTGTTCTCATAGATTTTTTTTCATGAACGTAAGATAATTTTCTATTGCAAAATCGTAAATAAGCTCTGAATGAGGAGTTCCCAGTATTTAAAAATTGTATATATATATATATCTCCTTTTTATGGTTCCTTATTTGCTCCTGTGATTTATGTAATTTGCAGGGTGAAATTCAGTATTTACTCAGTTAGGTTTCAGTTTCTTCATGTCAAGGAACAAATGCTGAATAAGCATTTGACATAACCCTGATGTGAAAAAGATTCTCTTATATGTTCAAGACAAAATTTATTAAAAGCATAGAGACAACACAAATGAAATTATTTGGGCTTTTTCATTTATATGGTAGTTCTTCAGCTCATGTCCTCCATAGTTAGTTGAGAGACTGCCACGATATTTTTCTGTCTTTAGCTGGTCTCTAGAATAGCCAGAGTTGTTTTCAGGCTGACTTGTAACTGAGAAACGAACAAGTCTTATCTCTGCGGCAGTTGCAGTGAAGGGTAACCCTGAGGAGAGTCTCTGAAAGTAGTAGCAATGTTTCCCTCTCTTGCATAACTTTAATCAGAAACTGATAGGATGAATAAATATGATTGTCAGTAATACAAATCCATCAGCTTGCTCATAACTTCAACTCAATTGTGAAACCAGATGAACATGTGTCTATATTTCAATTCTTAGTTCTATCTTTACACATCTTCATCCTTACTTTTCTTTTTAAGAGTCTAACAGTGCATGCAAAGAAACAGTGTGTTGCCTTTTGTATTGGAAAATGAAATGGATTTTCCTGGTATGACTGATTGCTACGAGGGGGAAGAAACAAGAGGCACATGTCAGTTCAATTGATCAATATGTCCACTTACAATCTGGGAGTGGTCTTATGGCTCAGTACTGCTAAGCTGATAGTTTTTATTTGAAAAGTCTCACAGGAAAGAATAGCAACTCCTGGAGTTCCTTTTCTTTTAGGTTGTTTTTGAGCCTAAATCAGATATATCATAGGAAGCAGGAAAAAGCACTACCTCTAGCCAGCTTGGAGTGTGATTTTTTTTGACACAGAATTGAATATATTAGTCCCATTGGACACTGCCTGAATGAAAGACCACAGATTTTTAATTAGTTTGTTTATACACATCACATTCTCTCTCTCTCTCTCTCTCTCACACACACACACACATGCTACTCTCAAGCTTTTAAACTAATATGGTTGACATATAGCTACATGGAATGGGAGAGGTCAGCTTAGTCTGGCTGGCTTTATCACGAACACTTAGGAGCATGAACTGTTCATTGCCTGCTTTTTTATGTCGCATAGTATGAGCAGAAAGCTCTGCTGGGACTGTTGGGTGTGAACACAGCTAAGTCAAAGCTCTAAGGTGACAGGGAGGAGTGCCAGATGATGATGGGGGAAGGGAAAGTATGTCTAGTGGCTGGATTATAAATCTGGGAAAAAAATCACTCAGTGTCCATTAGAATTTCTCTAAAATAGTATTTCCAATGAAAAGCAATGAAGAAAGGCTTGTTTGTTAACATGAATTGCTAGAAATAAAAAATAACTAAGGGCAGAATTTTAATAGGTGTTCTGTTTGCTTGATTCTTGTATCTTTTGTCTATTGGTGCACTCAGCTGCTTCATTGTGGATGATTTGTACAATTACTGGAAATCTCAGAAGCTGATTCCTTAAGGGCAATATTAAAAAAAGTGAAGTCATGCTTAGAGGGTGGGGACAGGCACTGGTGGGTGTGGGCTGACGCAGTTATCTAGTGGAACATCTTACAGTTCAAGCAAGCCTATAATCCTCCCAACCTCTATAAAGGTTCAAAATGTAGTTACAATTCCTCAATTTTATGCTTTTATGCTCTTTTTGCTTCATGAGAACAAAGCCCTGGTAATGGGAGCTGTCATCTTGATGCTTCATTTCTTCTCAGAGGGCCATAGACTGTGCTGCTCTCTGATGAGCTGTGTGTCTTAATTACTGGCTAAGCCTATTTTAGTTGCTGTAGTTTTAATATATCCCCAAGGGGTGAATGGTGTGTGTGTGTGTGTGTGTGTGTGTGTGTGTGTGTGTGTGTGTGTTATGTGTAGAGGATGGGTGAGATTGCACTATGGTTTCATTTATTGTATATCACTGAAATTTTCTAGTATTTAAAGAATTTTCTTTCATAATAGTGACAGAAAGGTTATTTAGACCATGTTTACTATGTAGCCAAGTTTAGATTGTGTAAACCTCATAAGTCAACCTCCTTTATCTTTTGGTTATTGTTTTTCCTCACTGAGTTACAAAGTTACAAAGAAGTTATTTCTTTATAGATAATGAGACCATGGTAGTGGTAAAAAACCTATTAATCATAATAATAACCAGAGTTATCATTTCCAGCTCTTATTATGTATCAGTTACTGGACTAAGCATTGTGTACTATCTTATTTAGCCCTTATACCAAAATTATGAGGTAGAGAGACACAATGTCCACAATGTCACTTTGTTGGGTTAGGTGCTATGTAGCCAAGTGTGGGAGCACATGCCAATTTTCCAGCACTTAGGAGGCAATCTCTTGCTATTAGGGTTGAGAGTTGCAGGCCAGCCTCAGCTATGTAAGTCACATTCTTTTAGAAATCAGTTCTTAAACAAATTACAAATTTGCTAAGTTCACATAGTTAATAAGTCATTGGACCATCATTCCAAATCAATGCAGTCTAGATGTGAAACTCACATGTTTAACCAGTCAAAATAGTTTGACTTCGTTTTAAGACAGCTTAACTATATATACCATTCAGAAGAGTCATCTATACTCTATCACATATACTCTACTCTTCCTCATTCTAATTTAGAGTCTCATTTTACATGTAGAAGTAAATCTCATTTACCATGCTAAGATGAACTTTACAAGAATGACAAACATGAATCTTGGTCATAACTGATTATTTACTCTGATCCTAGAGATTTAAGTAATGCAGAATTGATGCTTGGGTCTTTTACAAGTATCCTGGCTTGACATCTTTTTTGTTTTTTTAAATCTGGATCTATGTATGGAAAAATGCTATGTAAATACATCTGATCATGACAGAGTTTCAGTAGAAGCAGGTTTTATCTGAGTCATTAATGATTCAGAGTTGTTGTACCTGTCTTATCAGCTACACAGGTAGTGCTCTGTTAACTTTAAGACAACTGTATTCCCTGATAGCAGACAAGTAATAGAAACAGAATCTTCTTTCACAGTTTATAAGGTGCCATTAAACCCTGTCTCCTGAATCAAGAAAATAAAAAGGTTTATTTTGCCAAATGTGCCAGTGGCTGAAGTCAAATGCGGCTTGTTTCTGACAATGCACAAGAACAAGTCTTGTGTAATATCCTGGATGTCTTTAAGGAGATCTGATACAGTCATATCTGCATCATCTTGCCCATCCCCAGCTATCCACGCCCAGTGTCATTACTGGGCTTTAAGGGCTGCTCTTTGTTTGAGTTGGGGCTAATGCATATGTGGCTAGCACACTGATATTGATTCTGGAATGGTGAATACTTAGAAATGTTCCACAGAGCTCATTAGCCTTTTCAAAGTTCTGGGAAGAAGTTAACCTTTGTCCTAGCCTACCCAAAGAGGTCCAAACCCATGTCTACATGAGGTATAAGTTGATCAGAAGGAAAAAGAGCTCTAGGCACAGTGACTTTGAGAGTTTTGACTTGAATCTACAGATTTAATTCGATTTAATAAACAGAGTATATTCTATGTGCTGGTTATAGGCATCACAATTTATAACACAATTCTAGAGGAAGAGATAAAAATAAACAGGCAAATTTTTAGTAGAATAATATTTTCTGTCTGATACTCCATTTTTATTTACTTCAATTAAATTTGCTAATAGATAAATCCATATCTCTGCATGCATATATATGCATATATGGTTTATATAGAGAGGTGAATTTATTGCATGACTAAATAAAAGCTTTTTATCCTTTGTTTTGGGTTGGATTAGAAGCTTATGGGTGTAGACAAGACCAATATGGAAATTAGTGCCTTTTTTATGGTATAAGCTATTCTGAGGATTATAATTGAAGTTACTTAAACAGTATACTTCTATTTCATTTGATAGAGCTGATGCTAAGAAATGTACATGGCAGATGAACTTGGAGAGCTGTTTAAATTTTTTTAATGAAAGTTATTTCTCACCATTTAAAAACTATCTCAGAGAGCCCTATAAATCTAGCATTCCAGGAACCTAGTATGCTGGGGGAGTTATATGCTATACAAGATTTCAGATTGATGCATTCACTTTAGCATGCCTTAAAATGCATCATTTCAAAAAGCAGTTTAAACAATCACTTTAACCAAATGTATTTAAAACTATGACTGTATTTTTATGGAATATTCTAGGTTCCCATTCTTGAACATATAGGTAGTGTTCAGCTTGATGAGTCTAAGCAGAAAAAGAATTGTCACTTGCAATTTGACTGTAATTGCAAATAACCAGCTCTGTAGGTGGGTCATAAGTGAGGAGACTTTTTTTTTAACATGAATATCACTTTTTTAAAATAGGACTTTGACAAGTAATAGGTAAGTATTTAGAATGAGTAAAATACAAGATTTTTCAGTATCTGAATCCTCACAATGCTTTTAGGACTTGGTGAGGATAAAGGAGAAAACTTTTAAAGTACCAGCCATGTTTTTCTTTGCTTTTCAGCCATAAAACATGTTCCACATTTTTCCAGTCACTGTGCAACTCTGTGCTTGGGTTACAGAGGAGCCAGGGAGAAAATGTGGAATAAGATCTCAGACTGACTAATGTGT